GACGAACTATCTGTACTACATAATTTTCGTCATACTGCAGCAAAAACAGCATTTAATGCATGCGTTGTGGGTCTAAGAATTTTTACTCTCTAGGGAGTACAAAAGCGTTTTTAGCCCCTAGGGAGTAAAATTTAGTTGTTGTCAACTCAGTTGTAAATTTCAATTGTAAAATATTGCACGTATCGAAAGTAGGTATCGATTGTAGCTTATATTGGTGTCTTATTGTAAGAGTTCGACATATCGATAGTGTAATGTACGCACTAACACAATCATAATGGACGAAATAATCGAATCACTTTACTAAACAGTTGCTTGTTTTCAGAAGCAAAATAGATTATATTGGAAACAAGCTACCGGTAGTAGTTTTTAGAGGTTATCTTTCAATGAAAACTATTTCAGTTTAGAGACATAGTTTGTTCAAAAAATGGTGAAATATGACCAAAAATATAGTTCATTGCACGGGCAAAATGTGTCTTTTCACCTCTTGCTCATTTTCAGACCTCGGCTTCGCCTCAATCGTAAAACTTTAGCTCGGGTCGAAAAGAGTCACTTTAGGGCCTAGTGATGAAATATACTATTACCTTTGACTATTAATAATGCTATTACCTAATTGTCTGGCCAAGTTTTGATGCAGATTAAGTTTAAAAATATAGTAACTTTAACAATCGTGAAGACGTAAAGCAGAAAGCTTAGTTTATCTACCATATATCTATCAAGGTTAGTGACCGATTCACTCTTAATTGAACGTAAATAATCGCAGCATAAAAGTGCCCAAGTATCTGTGCTTTAGTGGCAGATTTACTGTTTATACATAATTACATTGAAAATCGCAAAATAGATATCGTAGCCATGTTTTGTCAAGTTTTAACGACGGGAAACGTGGCATTCTGTTCGAGCTATCTAGATCTATAATCGAATCGTGACCTCCTCAATTATTATTGTCCTCCTAATTGTGTCAGAGATTGATCCACGGCAATTACCCACTTATCGTGATCGTCAGTGATAATTTTATTCATGGTTTGGTAAAAATGATAAGAACCATCTTCAGGGCGTTCACAAACAGAGCTTTGGTTCGGCTGTGTGTTGTCTAGCGTGCTCGTATATGGGGTATTATGTATGAGACTATTTCTATTTATTATATTTTTATTTATGTTTTATTATATTTTTATTTTTTATTTTATACTACATTGTACTAGACTAATTTACAGCACAAGCTACGGACAAGACTGACTTTACTAACTCATAACACTTTCTGTCAAATAATTTTAAATGGGAATTGGTTGTGAAATAATTCTCCAGCCATAGAAAATAAACTATCAGCAATCTAACACATACTTTCTTCCATTAGCTTCCAACCCTAGTCATGGTTAAGCAGTCGGAGAGTTAAGTAGTCGGTTCAACTATTGTAACTAAGATAATTTATGGTGGAAATCACAAAAGTTGCAACAACCTTCACACCGTGGGTTTTACAACAATGGGAGCTGTACCATTTTGTTTAGAGTTAAAGAGGATGACAAAATCAATTTGAATCAGTCGTTCCAGCCAATCACCATATTAAAATATAAAATTTCAAGAAAATGATAAAAAACACTTGGAGACACCCTAACATACCAAATTGCATCAAATTGGGATCACAGGTGTAGACTGTAGCAGCTATGTACAAATCCACACACACACTTAATTATACACTTCGAAAACCATTTTTTGGTGTCAGGGGGGGGGGCAAAATGGATATATCCACCCAAAACTTAAAATCAGAAATTTATATCTAGGCATATTCTTATCTAAAAAATCCTTCCGGGCTCCGCCCCAGTGGCTCTGTATAGTTTCCCATGTTAACCTTTCAACTATAAAGTTGGTTCTATGATATACAAAAGCATTAAAAGTTATAAAATTTACCAACAGGGTAGGCCTAGCGCTATTACAGTAGAACCTTGATAACAAGACTCTCGTGGGGATTGTAAAATAAGACTTGTTATCAAGGTTGACTTCTTATTGAGGTCTGTAATAACATGTGATTATGGGGAAATAGTATATTTCGTGACTAGGGCAGAAAATGAGGTTTTGCCGGCTAGAGATAGTTTTCAAGTTCGAGACGAAGTCGAGAATGAAATGAACTATACCCTATTAACACTATTAACCACTATAATAATGCACGCACACTGATAGTCAACACAACTTTAAGGTTACCTATGTGAAGAAATAATTTGAGGAATCAGCAAAAATAAAAATAAATATTTGCTAGGCAACGGTGACAATAACACAATTCTATTGCAGTGTATTTAAAATGGGTCTGACTTAAGGGAGGTACGAATGAGGCATTTAGTTCAAAATTCCTCCGTGAACAGCGCTGTAGTAGAGAGCACTTTGGCAATGAAAGTTTACTAATCGCAAAAATAGTTCTGTTCATAAAATAAAATTATAAATGTCTCAAATTCAATTTTATTATTTTTTAATTATAAAATTAAACTATCATAACCTAACCGAACTAACCAAACTTGCTGATAAAGAAATAATATAACAAAAGTTTAGTAATCGGAAAAATAATTCTGTTTATTAAATAAAACTAGAATTTGCTCAATTAAAATTTTATAATGACTTAATAATAAAATTAAACTGTAATAACCGAACCAAACCAACCAAACTTGCTGATAATACAAAAATCTTGGACAAAAAGTTAATGCTACCAGTAGGATTCGAACCCGGGACCTACAGCATATCAGCCCGGCACGCTAATCATTAGACCACCGAGGCCGATGGCTACCGACCGTTTTGTTACGGTAATGGCGTTCCCTCAGCTAATAAGAAGCCCACAGCTGTCATCGTAGCCTCTTCTATACCTCCCCTGAGTAAATACCATTTAAAATGCATTCATGTTTTTAAGTAAGTAAGCGGACAGCTGATTTTGCGGCCCTGGGCTGTAAAAACCCCTGAAAAAGGTAACGTATTTTTTACGAAGTTTTACAAACACGTAATTACAGGAAATCAGCTGATTATACAATAAGTCGTTGCATCACTTTCCTTTCATTGGCACTGACAATAAACGAAAACATAACCTCTCTAAGAAGTAGTGAGTAGTGATTTTTAGTAATTAAAAACCAGATTGTTAGTAATTAAAAAAACTGTCGTAGGTAAAGTAGTGTACGCAACTCGCGTTAATAGTCTTTACGCCACACTACATTATTTTGACGAACTTCCCACGCAAGGATTTAGTCCAGAAAACAGCTGTTTGCCGCCAGCTTATTCAAATGGGGTTTCATTGCGTACTACTGTGCTGCAATGAGTTTTGCCGGACACCAATCAGCTGATTATACTGTATTTAGGTGGCAGTGAGTGGTTATAAACAAAAACATAACCTCTCTTAGAGGTTATGACTAGTGATTTTTAGTCCTTTAGTTGGTGGAAATATATAAGGATTTGTACGGATTTAGTAGTATGGCGTAAACTATCGTACGTAACTCGTCCAAAATGTGTGTACCGTCACAACACCACCTTCATATTAAAATTAATTTGTCACATTTCAAAATGGCGGATCCAAGATGGCGGCCGAAAAAAATACATCCGTCATAACCAAGTGAAAATAGGTCGACAATGAATGGTGGTGTATACTTATCTTTATCTAGCACTATTTTGAGATTAAGGTCTTAGTTTGTAAATGCACAATGTTAAAATGGGCTAAAAATAAGGGAGCGTTTCATAAACTCCAAATTTCACAAACTCCAACGCTTAAAATATTAAATGAACAGAGTGGTTCATAACCTCCAAATTTCATAAGCTCCAAAACTTTAACATTAAAATAATCACTGTTTCACAATGTCCAAGTTTCACAAACTCCAACGATTAAAATATTAAATAAACAGAGTGGTTCATAACCTCCAAATCTCATAAGCTCCAAATCTATAACATTCAAATAATCACTGTTTCACAATGTCCAAATTTCACAAACTCCAACGTTAAGATACCAAATAAACAGTGCGGTTCATAATGTCCAAATTTCATAACCTCCAACGGTACAGTCTGGGCCACAAGTCTCTACAGTGGTTGCCACAGTCAGATAGCAGGCACCATACCGAACCACGGCAACCACTGCAGCGACTTCTGGCAGAGACTGTACCGTTGGAGCTTATGAAACTTGGAGGTTATAAACTGCTCTGTTTATTTGATATTTAAACGTTGGAGTTTGTGAAATTTGGACATTGTGAATCGGTGACTATTTGAAAGTTATAGTTTTGGAGTTTATGAAATTTGGAGGTTATGAAACGCACTGTTTATTTAATATATTAACGTTGGAGTTTGTGAAATTTGGACATTATGAACCTCACCCAAAAATAAAGTTATTAAAAGACCTTATAACTTTAGAACGGATCAAAATTTTTAGAAACTATTTGCGGCATTGTAATCAGCGTAAAATTCCTGTTTGGAATAATGGGTCACAACCCTACCTTTACATTTGAAAAAAAAACTTTGTATCCAATATGGCGGATCCAAGATGGCGGCTAAAAATTTATACCAAGTAAAAATGAAGTACTTACTACTCTACAATGATCTGACGTGGTCCGGAGTTAATATCTTAAGAAATGTAGAAAAAAGTTGGGGGGGAACTCATTTAAAAATCACCCTGTATAATATGCATAACAAAATCATTAAAAAATGTTACATATTTCAAAAACCCCTCAACAAAAAGTTCGCTTTTAGATTATTTCCAATTATTGTTTTATGCTGTGACAAGTGGCTGACATCACCTCTTGTAAGAAAAAACAATTGTTGTAATTTTCTTCCTATCACTAATATCTTACTAGTAATTAAATTCAAACATATTTATGATATTACAGAGCAGTCACTTTATACTATATGATAAAAATATTTCGGTCTTCGTTGATCATATTAATATCGCATTGACCGACGTCACAGACACACGTCAATTGAATCGGAATTGTAACAGCTGTTTACTAACTAAACGATTATTATTGCTGAATGCTGAACTTGTTGTGGTTGTTGTTTGTGATCAATCCAATCAACTTGTTATTATTAGTCCTTGTTTATATTGTTATATGTTGAGCCAGTGAAAGTGATTTTTGTGAAATCGGGAAACAGTTCAGTTCCGTTTAATGAAGATGATTTCTAGTTTATCTCGTGCAGTGTTGTAGTTATGGCGATCGCGCGTTCTGGTAAAGCCGGTACAACAACGTAAATACAAAAAGTCCTTCACCTTGCCAAAACGACATGGCGGGTTTTCGACAGCTTGATCGGAAAGTTTTCCCGCTACAAGACATTCCTTCGGTTGTAAAATTTTTTAAGAAGGAATTAGACAGGAAACCTGAACCTGATTTAGCACTTCTATCTATTATTGTCGGTGCTATAGAAAATTCCATGACATGTAATAGGCCTTATCCGGCTAATAATGAAAATGATGAGTTTGGGCATCTTGTGCCTGTGGAATACCACATTGTGGAAACTCTTTACACTAAATTTCACACTATTATTAAATCAACAGTTGACATGTCCTTGTACAGTGATTTAAAATATGCCACTCGAGAACTAGTGAAGAGGGTATCAGACGTTATTTGGAATTCCTTAACCAGAAGTTACTACAAAGACAGAGCCCATCTACAGAGTCTGTATAGTTATTTAACAGGTAGGCCTACACAGTTGGGCTCGGCCTACATTGGGGCCACTTACTTTTAAGACCCTAACTAGGCCTACCCTACTCCCTAACTAGCCTATAAGTTAAACTTAAAACAGACTTTAAAGTTCAAAATGAGCCTAAGTACTTAACTTTAGTTATATTCATTACGCTGGTTACAGACAGAGAGGTTTTTGCAGTGGCAGGATACCTATATCACCGAAGCCGCTTGAGAAAATTGGCGTGCTTACACATGTAGCGGTTATAATACTGCCACCCATATATATATATATATAGAAAAAATGCCGCCAATTTCATTAGCTACAGACACTACACCTAGGCCTAACTTACTCTCGTAACTTGATGTTAGTTATTTACCTCTAAGCTACCGCATTATTGTGTAGTGGCTTCTCTGTTTTATGATTAATGTTCCATTGGTTTAATCAGTAAATTATTTAAGTTTTTAACTGTTAAATTATGATATGAACAGTCGACTTACCTAACTATTATAGCACTTTTGTAATAACTTTCAGTCGAAGGAAAAGAAGGCAACAGAAAAATCACGTTTTTTGAATCAATCCTATAAACACAAGTGGAAAATTTGCAAAAATTGACAAAACACACATAGGCTAATAGGTACCTACACAGTTTAATGATGTCAATTGCAAAAATCTAGGATGCTGTTGACAACTTCTAAGTTAGTTGACTGAGGAAATGGTATAAAACCCGCCAAATGTGTAAACGCCCATTTGATCTCATACGCCACTGCATGGACAAGAGCGGCTAAAACACCGCCTGCTGCAGTGGCACTGGACGGCTACACAGTGGCCGCCAATATGGCATTATGGTTGCGCAGCGGTCCTACCGCCCTTAGTGTAAACTTCCATATAGGCTAAACGTATAGACTAAGCCACTACCAAAGCAAGGGCAACGGTAGTTTTGCCGCTTTCATAGACATACAACTGCATTCATAGAGTTAACTCTAATGTACATAGGTAGGCCTATACATAGAGTGAAGACCCCCTTTTCCAACCCGACCCACCTAAGTTATGCCTAATTCAAATCAATAACTTAAAGCAAAAATAAATCATAAGTAGGGCTAAGCTATAACATGTGAATTACCACATCACATTAAATAAAAATACAACCGGTTGTGGCTTTTCAGGTCACCAGTAATAGGTTCTATTGTTAAATAGATTAGGTACCTACAGTTCAATTATAAATATTACGAAGATAGATTATAGTCGGGACCACGTAAGTTTGCAGTTGGTGACAGCCAATCACAAGACAAGGCTAGTGCGACATTGCCACATCGCCCGTTGACAACACTAATTAAAATATACCAAGCAATATTTTCAAATCAGCTGGTAGCCTATTATAAGATTTGGCAGCACTGCACGGTTCTTATTGGTTCATTCAAAACCATATGGTAAATAGGCTCCTCCCTCAACTGCAAACTTACGTGGTCCCGACTGTAGGCTAAACTTAACTTAATATGGAAAAATATATGCACATCATCTTAGTCCTAAGAGTTTTGTAAACAAACAGTTTAACCAGTTGAATTGTGGTTTCAAAGTTCTGCTAACTTGCCAAGTAAAAGGGTACGTTATGGATGCTAAACACAGGACATTCCAATTTTGAAGATTAGTAAGCTGTCGGTTACGGTACCTACCTACTGATGGTGTTTTCTGACAAGAGTGTTTTGTTCAGGTAACAAGCTGGACTGTTTTGGTGTGGCCTTCGCAGTGGTGGCTGCTTGTCAGGTGCTAGGGTTCAGTGACGTTCATCTTGCCCTGTCCGAGGATCATACTTGGGTTGTGTTTGGTGAGAACGGAGATCAGACAGCAGAAGTTACGTGGCATGGTGAGTACAATAAGCCTAAGCTTAAATGCCAATCATCTTAAACAGTTTCAGGAATGATTGTAAAACTTGATTTTATCATGTTGAGTGCTGACCATGTAGTAGCGTATTTCACCACCGTGTGGAAAAATTATGCCATTTCATTTCTCAATGTGAGGTCAGCTTTTGAAGGACATTCACGCGCCAGCAGCACTTTGTATTGGTCCTATATGAGCGCTTTGCAAAAGAGCTGGTGGTAAAACACCAGATATTTTGTCCTTTAGGTCCCAGATTTAAATCTGCCTAATAGGTTTAGCAATGGTGTGATCCTCTAGGACTAGTCTGAATATGTAAAATCTAGATCCTAGTGTCCTACGATGTCAAAGTAGACCATTGAAAAAATACTGTTGCGTTAAATTGTCGTTCATGGCATGTACCCAGGTCATCCCATCCACTACTAATGACCTGTTAACTCAGGGTGTCCACCGACCGGGAAAACCGGGAATTATGCGTGATTTTTGTATTTTACCGGGAATTTTCAATTTACCGCGATTGCGCATGAAGATGACGTTTCCTTGACCGCGGGAGACAGTGATGATTTCCAAACTGCCGTGGGATTTATTAGTGATTTTGCCGAAATCGTGCATGACGATGATGACGTATCCGTAACCGCAGTAAACGACGATGATGTTTCCCAGACCGCGGGAAACGACGATGACGTTTCCGTGACCGCGGGTGCAGACAATGATTTTTCCGTGACCGCGGGAGATGCTGATGACGTTTTCGTGACCACAGGTGACGACGATGACGTTTTTGTGACCACAGGTGACGACGACAGTAGCGCACTGTCATAGTTGGGGGCCTGGGGCGGCTTAGATGAGAGGGCCTTTTTTACATACATATATATACAAGTGAAATAATAAATACCATAGTACCCTGTTTAAAAATTATTTTATGTATACAATTATTTTAAACAGGGTGCCATGGTGTTTATTTAAAAAGTAACCCTAAACTAAACAGTGATTAGAAGTAAAAAGAAATATATGCTTTCAATGTATTTTGTATCACTGATTAAATGAGCTTACTTCAACTAGGTATTTTAAATGTAATCTATTATTGTATTTGAGAAAAATTTAATGATGCTAAATTAAAGTTCCTTTAAGTTTACATTTTACGTTTTTATGAGTTGGAGAGTCGTAATGAGCACGAGGACTCCAAGAAGTAACACAAATCAGGTTTTTTGTTGACAATTCTTTTAATTTTAGCGAATTTCCCATATAGGGAATAAGCTATTACCGTAGGTCTCATGGTAAGACCTAGACCCAAGACCGATTTACTTTTTCGTTTTGAGGTCCCCAGAGGCCAAAAACACCATCCGTTCAAATTCATATATATATATATATATATATATATATATATATATTTATATATGTGTCCGTTAGCGCGATAACTCGAGCAAAATTGATCCGATTTTGATGAAATTTGGTACAAACGTGTAAACCTACATTTATTCGAACGAGTTTGCGAACCAGCATAATCGGACCATGGGATCAGGGGTTTATGGGGGGTTTTATGGGGTAAAAATGGGGTTTTCTCATTTTTGACCCTAAAAACTTTAAATTTCTAAATTTATCTCTAGACCATTTTGAAGAGCTTAAAAAAACAAATAATTTAGTATATTGAAGTGTTTTTGAATGTTCATTGACTATGGAGAAAATTTAAAAAATTGTAAATTTAAAATTCCCATGTTATTCTTATGGAGAATAAATAAACTGTTCTAGTTTGCTTGTTTATGGATATATTTTAATGAAATTTGGCAATTTGGTTTATTTCATACTAAGCTATAAATATTTCAATTTGAAAAAACACACCTCAACATCTTCCCCGTAGCAGCAAACCTAACTACTCACTAAAATTAATGTTAGCCTATTTAAATAGGAAATAAATCTAAAAATTTATAGGGAATATTTTAGTAGAAATCAAGCCGGGTCAATGGAAATTCGCTTAGTATGCAGGTTTGGAGATACTATTTTTGTAAAAAATACATTGTATAATTATATTATCTTTATATTATACATTATATTTTGTACTATAATTGGTCCAAACTACTTCTGTGATCGGGGCAAAATGAACGATTATTGTCCTCGGTGAAGACAAAATCGTGAGCGTCCGTGTTTGTGGGGCCGTAATATCCGTCTCCCGCAGTCGCACGGGTTATCTCCGAGACTGTGGAGCAATCGTTAACCCTAGCAGTGGCCAACCGTCGCCTGGTGACGGTATGACGTTGATGCTTAGAATGGCCAATGTCGTCTGGTGACGGTATGGGCCGAAATTTTTTTAACGGTAAAAAAACACTTATAATCAACTCAGATGAGAATAATATATATACCATTCGAAAGATCACATTCTGAACTTTCATTTGATTACATAAACAAACCCTGTAGCAGGTATATAACAATGTCACGACGATTAGAAATCAAATGAAATTTTGGCGCGGTACTCCTTTTGCAGCCGACACTTGGGAACTGGCAAAACACGTCTTGTTTGGCATTACCCTGCTCGGGTAATTTTCGTCTTGGGATGTTGCGGGTGGTACCACTGGATAGCCATTGATTTTATCTTCATTGTGGTAGTGATATTTATAACTAAATATTGATTGCACAATCGGTACGATTTTATGAAAACAGCTGTTTTCGAAATTTCTAACAAATGGCCAACAGTCGTCTGGTGACAGTATGGAAAATACGAATTATATACAGTGAAAGTTATTATTACTAGTCATATAGTATATCATTTTGAAGAGGAAGAAATTTAGATTCAGAGAGTGGCAGCCCTGCACTCAGGGTTATTTCTGTATGCTCGCATGTAGACGACGGAAGTGAGTCATTACTGCTACAGTCTGTCAGCTGTCTTGTATTGCTATTGTTTGTTTGTGTTGTTGCCGGCGATTTATTACTAAATATGTTATTAGTTCGTAGTGTTAGTGTTAGTGAAGTGTTGTGTGTGTGTATAACAGTAATCTTCATGCATAAATATTACTGAATTGTGTGAAATAGTGTTCATAAAAGGTTGTATTTTGTTAGCATCATGTCCTAAAATGACGATTCTGACATTCAGAGATTGTTGTACCTATATAATGATATACCCAAGGTGTTATACATTTTTATAAAGGTAAATGAATACACTACAACATGTTTATAATGGTTTGGGGTAAACAATTTTGTAAAAAAGTTATAGCCTATACTAAATAGGCCTACTACTGTATTTTGTTAGCATCATGTTCAAAAATGACGATTCTTACATTCAGAGGTGCTATGTATGCTATATAATGATTTACCCAAGGTGTTATACATTTTTATAAAGGTAAATGAATACACTACAACATGTTTATATTGGTTTGGGTGTAAAAAATTTGGTAAAAAAATTATATAGGCTACTAAATACTGTACACTCCATTTTCTCGAAATGCGCAAAAAATTCAAAACGTTCTCAAATTGATACATAATCATAGGTGAAAATAACTTTTTACCATCATACTTATGACTTTTTTGGATTCCTTACTTCATTAGCTTTACAAATATGTAGGCTACATATCATCAGCCTACATAATGTTTCACAACACAAGCAAACACTGTAGGCTATAGTTTACACTTATTTGCGGTTTTGCGGTTATTGTATTATTATGTCCCTATTACGTACCTACAAAAAAAAATATTTCTAACATGTTATACATTTTTATGTAGGTAATTGAATACACTACAAGATTATTATGTTGGTTTGAAGTAAACAAATTTGGTACAAAAGTTGTATACTAAGTACTGTGAATTTTTTTCTCGAGAAATCGCTAAAATATAAAAACATTATTTTATATACGTATGTTTATAGGTAAAAAATTATTTTTACCATAAACTTTATGACTTTTTTTGATTCCTTACTTCATTAGCTTTACAAACATGTATATATCATTATTAGTATACACATATATTATAGAACTTTTTACAACATAAACTAACACTGTACGGTTTTCAATTTTTTCGGTTCTCCGTTTGTCATTATATTTCGCCCCAAAAACTTATTTAAAAAAATATTTTCCTAACATGTTATATATATATATAGAGGGAATTAGATTGTCTACAAAATGTATATAATGAATTTCCCATAAAAAAATCCGTAGAAAAAAAATGCAGAGGCCGCTTTTGAAATTTCAAAAAAAAAATCAAATTTTTTAATTTTTTTCACTTTACCGATAAAATACACTGTCTAAATCATTATGATATTACTATTTCTAGATTCTCCTGTTCTTTCCGAACAAAATGAATATGAGGTTGGCTAGGTTTACTTGTACGGTTGAATTTTTACGAATTTTCAAAAAATGGTCTGCAAAATCGCCAAAATGGGTTGGCCATTCCCCACTTCTAACATTGGCCACTGCTAGGGTTAACATGTCCTATGTTTACGGTGGAATAGTGAACATCTTTTGCGGTCGCAGGGACATATTTTACATGCCGAAATCGTTAACATCTCCGGCAAACGTGTTGACAACATTATCGTCCCCCCAATCGTGGCGAAATCGTGTACACCATTAATCTCCATGTCATCTTTCGTGGTTGCGAGACACTATCGTCACCCGCGAACGCTGGTAATGTAACGATCGCTGGGAGTCGTGATTTTCGATCGCGCAATCTTTGCAGACACTTCCGGTGATTGTGATAACAGATTATTATATTCTAACAGCAAAACTTATTTTCCAATTTTTGAGACCCAAGTAAGGCCCCTTCCTAGGCCGAGAGGCCCTCGGCAATCGCCGTGTTCAAAGTTAGGGGAATACGGCCCTGATTTGGGGGCCTATGTTGGAATGGGGCCTGGGGCGGACCGCCCCCGCTGCCCCCCGTTGGTACGCCACTGGACGACGATGATGTTTCCGTGACCGCGGGAGACGACGATGACGTTTCCTTGACCGCGGGAGACGACGATGACATTTCCGTGACCGCGGGTGACAATGATGATGTTTCAGTGACCGTGGA